TGGAGATGTATAACAACAAATTCAAGAAAAACTGAAATAGTAAAAATATACCTGTAATAGCCAGATATACTTTGATTAAACAAAAATATACACTTGATCTAATGATTTGTCATTCATATCTGTGAAGGCACTTGCACAGTCAGAAATATTTTACAAGCAACGGAAAAATCTTAGAACATCGAAATTTTGTCCTACAACGAAAAGTGCTACTTCTGTATGTATAAACATAAACATAAGATAAACATAAACATAAGAATTACATACGACGATAACTGTTACAAAAACAAACTTTATCTCATGTATTGTAAAACAAGTTCTGTAACTCTGTGTAATAGACGTGTACGAAAGGGTATACTTGTAAAAATTCCATTCGTTACTTAAGAAAGTAGTAAAGAGCTCCCTTATATCAGTTGGTGCAACTTATAAGTATATATCGAGATTTCTTTTTTTGTATTAATGGTGACGATATTTTAGATAGTATAGAAATTCCAATACTAAAGCTAACAATTCACGCGATAAATACATATCGCTTTTAAACTCTTTGAATTTCAAATAATTTTACGTCCGTATCATACCAGATCGGTGGTTCGACGTTTCTCAAATATATGACACCCCACATATACGTCCTGAACCAAGCCGTGGTCCCCGCGTTCGCTTGATATCTTCTGATAAGAATAGGATGCGGTACAGGTAGCAGACCGACCAATGTGCCGTGTTGTAAAAATTTCAGAATTTCGTTCTCATCCGTGAGGCCCCTGGAGCAAATTAAAAAGAGTGTCTTCCGTTCGAAAAAATTCTAAGAAGCCGCGATAAACGAGACTCACTTATCAATGCATATTTTTTCAACTTGAGGCACGAGTACTTGGAGTAGTCGCATAATAGTTTGCAATGGAAGTTTACTTTTCCATTGGTACACCCACTCGCTCGATGGAACCCATTGGTTCGCATTATTAGGCGAACTCGTATGTTCCGCGACTCTGATACCTCCTTTCTATTCAATCAATGATAAACGACACATATAGTACATTAATATTCAAACACACTTTAATATCTTTGGGATGTTTGGAAGCCTGGTCTACTACTATCATATATAACTAAAGATTGAAAAAATTGCTATTCATCAGAATTTCGAAGAAAAAATAAAATGCATGCTTTTTAACTTTCTTATTCGAGACTTCGACGAATAGTAATTTTCTTTAATTATTTGTTACACTTTAT